ACCTTAACCAAAATCAAAGTAGACTATCACTCACCCACACCACCTTAACCAAAATCAAAGTAGACTATCACTCACCCACACCAGATGGAAAACTCTACAGACCGTCGGTTCACACCCCATCACAAGCCAGCAAAACATCCACGAAACAAAGAAAGGTCTGTCACAGCCAAAAAATACACTCCAGACATCGTCGAACAGAGCTGCCCAGTAAACCGTAGTAGGCAGAGAGGAAGAAGAGGACAACAAACGAGGGGGGGCTGTGACAAATCTGTTTCGTCCAAGTTTCTCCGACTCGTCAGAAGGCAGAACCCTCTACAGTCTGCAGAGGCCCCTAACTGAGAGGTGGACCCCACAGTTTCGCCGACTCATCCGGAGACTGAGAGGTGAGACTGAGTGGATCCCACTGCCGGGTGGGCGATGGGAAAGAGGAAATCGAACCCAACTAACAGATTCCAGATGACAAGTCCCACATGATTTCGTTTTTCGCTTCGGCGCTCTGATATCATGTGACAATATATATATGTCATGTGACAATATATATATATATATAAAGTCGAGGACTTGTGAAGGTACGTTGTGTTTGGGGGAATACAGTAGCGCACCGCTCACCCGGTTTGCTTCTTTTGGGGTGCGCCTGATTAGGCATATACCAGTTTTGCTACTTTAGGAAAAGAAGGAAGACCCCCCGTGCACGACCACACAAGTAATAACGCTCTCGAGGTCCCCGGCGGCTTTTTTGCAATATATACTTGAGTTCAGAAAAAAAAAAAGGACACGGACGTGTGAGGGTGCGTTGTGTTCGGGGGAAGACGGTAGCGCACCGAACACCCGGTTCGCTTTTTTTCGAGTGCACCTGATTAGGGGGCTCGCTACACGACACAACACTGCATGCATTTGGACGCTTTTCTTGACCGGATACATTCAGAACGTTGAATTGTCCGAATGCACCTGGTCAGTACAGCGTCCAAATGCATGTACAGTGTTGTGTAGTGGAGCGAGGCCCTAGGTGTAGACCAATTTTGCTGCCTTGGGAAAAGGAAGACCCCTTGTACGACCAGACGAAGGCACATAGTCTCCTCTCTTTTCCCCCTTTTGTTATTTCCCCCACCCCATTTTCTTATCCCCGCCACCCGCCGTGTTTGTTACTTCCTGCCCTTTTTAATATTTCCCGCCCTTTTCGTTATTTTCCCGCTCTTTTTGTTATTTTCCCGTCCATTGTAATATTTCCCGCCCTTTTCGTTATTTCCCGCTCTTTTTGTTATTTTCCCCCAGTACATCAGAAGATCGGTAGCATTGCCGCAGTGCGCTGCTACCGTCTTCCCCCGAACACAACGCACCCTCATCCCGACTGCGCCGGACCGGAAAAACAGTTTGTATACGTTCACGGTCACGGTCCGACGTTGTATTCGAGGGAACACGATAGCGATACCAGTCTCTAAGGGCAGCAGAAACAGACGGGGGCAAGGTCCCACTTGCACGGATTGAGAGATTCTGGCCGTTGATCTTTGCTATCTACGGTCAATATCGCTTAATTCGTCTAAGTGGGACCTAGCCCCGGGACAGAGTGCACTGCTACCGTCTTTCCTCGAACAAAACGCACCCTCGTCCTGTCTGTATCGGACCGGAATGATAGCTTGTATACGATTACGATCATGATACATTGCATTCGACGGAACACGATAGCCATACCCATTCCTGACAGCAGCGGAGACACAGGAGACATCAGTCGACATGAAGCTAATAAGATTGCAAAAGACTAATCAACGATGGGGGAGAAAAAAAAAAAAAAAAGGCATAGGAGGCAAAAGACAAATCAACGATGAAAAACAAAAAAAAAGGAATAGGAGGCAAAAGACAAATCAACGATGAAAAAAAAAAAAAGGCATAGGAGGCAAGAGATCAATCAACGATGGAGAGGGGGGGAAGGCATAGAAGGCAAAGACAAATCAACGATTAAAAAAATATAAAGCCCGGCTTTTCGTCAAGCAGAGGAGCTGCCCGGTAAACCGTAGTAGGCAGAGAGGGAGGGAGAAGAGGACAACAAACGAGGGGTATAGCCTCCTGATGAGTAGGTAGGTGAAACTCCGACGAAACTACGGTTTACCGGGCAGCTCCTCTGTTTGACGATATATATCGTCACAAGCATATCAGAGCGCAAAAACGAAAAAAAGGAAGAAGAAAGAAAGAAAGATGGAAAACAGGAAAAAATGAACTCATGATTTAATCTTCTTCCTTATAACTCCCCCTGTTCAGAACCTCTTGCGTACAAGGCCGCCCACGTGGATGTAGGTTGAGCGGCGGCTGCCCCCACCCCCGTGTGTCATATCGACCCACTTGCACACAGCCAGAAGGCAAAGAGGCAAAGAAAAGAGGAAGGGAACAGCCAAATAAAACAGAACAGGGGGCAACAAAACAGATCCCAGATGACAAGTCCCACATGCAAGCACCGCCCCTGTCCACAGACCAAACGACGGGACAAGACCAACACGGATGTCAAAACATTCTTGTCTGCAAAGAAATCAAAAAGAACCCGGAGGACCTGCATAAAAGACAATCCCGGATGACGATTCCCACATACAAGCACCGCCCCGCGCTCAAAAGGCCGAACAACGGGAAACAACCAACCAGGACGCCAAGACAATATATATCGTCACAAACAGAACTGCCCGGTAAACCGTAGGCAGAGAAAGAGAAGAGGACAACAAACGAGGGGCTGTGACAAACTGTTTCGTCGGAGTTTCACCGACTCATCAGGAGGCTGAACCCTCAACAGTCTGCAGAATCCCCTCACTGATTACACTGTAAATGATAATCTACCTTAACCAAAATCAAAGTAGACTATCACTCACCCACACCAGATGGAAAACTCGACAGACTGTCGGTTCACACCCCATCATACCTAGGCTACCAGCCTGGCCGCCCGGTTCCCGGGTGGCCAGCGCATGCAAGGACCAGGGAAGGTCCCAGCAAAAAAAAAAACAAAAAAAAAATCCAAAAAATCCGAAAAAAAAACTATGTTATGCAGAAAAATAAACTGAACAATTTTTGCCTCAGGGTCACATCGAAATTCTACACCAATTTTAGAATAAAAATTAAAAAATATTTTTTTTACTTTTTTTTTTTGGGCCCGGCCGGGCAAGTGACCCCGGGCCACTCTGGTAGCCTAGATACATACATTTTAATATATCTATCGACTAAAAGAACACACTTTGCGTCGGACAAGGAGCTGTACCAGTACGTGATCACTTGTTAAAAAAAAAAAATCAAACAAAAATAACACACTGCGCAAAACAAATGAAGAAAAGACCAGCCAGCGTGAGGTAGGCAAACTGAAACCGTTCTCTCAACCTTTTTCTGTGGACTGCATTCGTTTCTTTTTTTTCTTTTTTTTTTTTTTTTTTAGCATTCGTTTCTTTTCCTTTTCGCAAGCTGTCAAGAAAACATAAACTTCCCAAAAAAAAAAAAAGAAAAAAAAAAAAGAAAACATAAACTAGAGAGACACAGCGTAAGGAGCGCGTGCGCGCGCGCGCGCGAGAGAGAGAGAGAGAGAGAGGAAAGACACAGTGAGCAAGAGAAGGCTAAAAGGGAAAATGAGGAGTGTGAACAACAACGAGCAAGTAGAGAAAGGATTTATGAAGACTACGGTCTTCACCCAAATAGAACGCCCGGTCATAATCGCTGCATCTAGACTGAAAGTTACCCCAAATACAGCTATCTACAATGACCGGGCGCTTTATTCGGGCTAAGACAGTAAGGACTCCTTCAGTCTGTATAGTCCTTGGCTATACAGACTGACTCCTAAGGCTAGGGAGTCAAGGCCTCACCGCACCACAGCTATGGTGGATGTATCTTGCCACGTCCATTTTTCGCACAATTGGTTAGCAGTGCGGCGAGACCGTTGCCCCCCCCCCCCC